TAATGATTTATTTATTTGCATTAGGTACATTTCTACAGTGGGCTATCAATTGGTGACCTTTTAATATGAGGATTTTTATTTAAAGTGATTTTCTTTCTACTTATTTACTTTGAGAAACAACACAAGTGGGATGGGAGAAAGAGAGAGGAAAGAGAATCCCAAGCAGGCTCCACGCTGTCAGTGTAGAGCCCGACGTAGGGCTCGACCTCACAAACTCTGAGATCATGACCTAAGCCGACATTGAGTTGAAGGCACCCTAAAGTGCTTTTTTTTTTTTTGAAGTTTATTTATTTTTAGAGAGAACATGTGCCTAAGTGGGAAAAGGGCAGAGAGGGAGAGAATCCCAAGCAGGCTCTGTGCTTGTCAGCTTACATTGCAGACCCCACCTGACAAGGAGGGGGGCGGGGTGGTGGCTTGATCTCATGAACCAGGAGATCATGACCTGAGCTGAAATCACAGGTAGGAAGCTTAACCCACTGAGCTAACCAGGAGCCCTAAAGTGATTTTCCTCAATTTCCTTATACTTTTAACAGTGCTTTCTAACGATCCAAATACCCTCCTTAGAAAAACACTGCTATTTGCTTCACTGAATTAAATAGGAAATTAACTGCCTTTTTTTTTTTTTTGGAAATTAACTGCCTCTTACTGGTTTAGAAAAAAATCTAACCAAATGCAAGATATGGAACTTGTGTGGATCCTGCTAAACCTGTAAAAAGATATTAATGAGACAATGGGGAAATTTGGACATTTTAATTGTCTGGATATTAAACGATAGATAATTGTCTTGATGGGATAATGGAATTGTGGGTATGTTTTTATTTTTTAATGTTTATTTATTTTTGAGGAGAGAGACAGAGCAGGAGTGGGGGAGGGGCAGAGAAAGAGGGAGACACAGAATCCAAAGCAGGCTCCAGGCTCTATGTTGTCAGCACAGAGCCTGACACAGGTCTCGAACCCCTGAGCTGTGAGACCATGACCAGAGCTGAAATCAGAGGCTTAACCACCTGAGCCACCCAGGTGCTCTAGTGGGTATGTTTTTTAAAAAATTCTCTTATCCCTCCATATTTAAAGTATTTACAGATAAAATGAACAGTCCAGCAGGAGATAGGAAGCGTGGAAGGCTACAGATGAAATAATATTGGCCATATATTGATAAATATTCAAGCTGGTGAATAGTGCATTAGGATTTATTGTATTATTACCTCAATTTTTGTGTGTGTTTGAAACTTTCCATAATAAAAAAGTGTTAAAAATATTAAGAAGTAGAAAGAAGAAAAGCATTTCAAATTTAATTGGCCTGACTTAAGCAATAGCTGAAATTTTCTCAGGTAGTATCTTTAGGAATCCTTCAGAACTATCTGCTAATTTGCTTTTTCTTTTCTTTTCTTTTTTTTAAGTTTTGCATTTTTTAATGTTTATTTATTTAATGTTTATTTATTTTTCAGAGAGAGAGAGAGAGAGAGAGA